AGAGCAAGCGGACAGGCACGGGGGGTATGGAGTGAGTGAGGGAGGGAGTGAGAGGGGGGAAGATAAGGGTGTAGGGAGTGGGCAGGGTGCGGGGGAAATGGAGGGAGGGAGGAAGGGAAGGAGTCAGGTGTGGTGGGGAAGGGGTGAGAGGGTGCGCATGGGGCTGGTGGGTGTGGGGGGGAGTGGGGGGGGGGGAGGAGAGCAAGCGGACAGGCACGGGGGGTATGGAGTGAGTGAGGGAGTGAGTGAGGGAGGGAGTGAGAGGGGAGATAAGGGCTGTATGACTGAGATAATTACCTGTTGGTGTATATTTACACAGGTGTGATGAGAGTATGGTTAGACTCGTGTTTACTATGATAAGGTAAAGGATGTGAGCTGCTCACTTGTGGTAGTTGATGATCTTCAATATTATGTTTGACGAACATTGAACTCGGGCGGATGACACGAGTTGGTGCCTGGTAACTGCTCGCATCTATTTTACTAAGTACGAAATGCAGCAATTTAAAATCTCTGGGAAATTGATTCTGTTACGGTAACCTCCTGCTTACGGTGGCTGTGTGATGGTGTACTGTGTGATGGTGTACTGTGTGATGGTGTACTGTGTGATGGTGTACTGTGTGATGGTGTACTGTGTGATGGTGTACTGTGTGATGGTGTACTGGTGTGGTGCGCTGGTGTGGTGCGCTGGTGTGGTGCGCTGGTGTGGCGCGCTGGTGTGGCGCGCTGGTGTGGTGCGCTGGTGTGGTGCGCTGGTGTGGCGCGCTGGTGTGGCGCGCTGGTGTGGCGCACTGGTGTGGCGCACTGGTGTGGTGCGCTGGTGTGGCGCACTGGTGTGGCGCACTGGTGTGGCGCGCTGGTGTGGCGCACTGGTGTGGCGCGCTGGTGTGGTGCGCTGGTGTGGTGCGCTGGTGTGGTGCGCTGGTGTGGTGCGCTGGTGTGGCGTGCTGGTGTGGTGCGCTGGTGTGGCGCGCTGGTGTGGCGCGCTGGTGTGGCGCGCTGGTGTGGTTTTGCGATGGTGAGGTACCTGGTTGATACCTGGTTGATGGGGTTCTGGGAGTTCTTCTACTCCCCAAGCCCGGCCCGAGGCCAGGCTTGACTTGTGAGAGTTTGGTCCACCAGGCTGTTGCTTGGAGCGGCCCGCATTCCCACCACAGCCTGGTTGGTCCGGCACGTTTTATAGAAAACAGTCTAGTTTTCTCTTGAAGATGTCCACGGTTGTTCCAGCAATATTTTTTACACTCGCTGGGAGGACGTTGAACAACCGCGGACCTCTGATGTTTATACAGTGTTCTCTGACTGTGCCTATGGCACCTCTGCTCTTCACTGGTTCTATTCTGCATTTTCTTCCATGTCGTTCATTCCAGTATGTTGTTATTTTACTGTGTAAAATAACACATCAGCCTCGTGCTGTGTGTTTTTTTGGACCTGGCTCTCCAGTATTTTCCACGCGTATATTATTTGGTATCTCTCTCGTCTCCTTTCTAGTGAGTACATTTGGAGAGCTTTGAGATAATCCCAATAATTTAGATGCTTTATCTCGTCTATGCGTGCCGTATATGTTCTCTGTATTCCCTCTATTTCAGCAATCTCTCCTGCTCTGAAGGGGGAAGTGAGTACTGAGCAGTACTCAAGACGGGACAACACAAGTGACTTGAAGAGTACAACCATTGTGATGGGATCCCTGGACTTGAAGGTTCTCGTAATCCATTCTATCATTTTTCTGGCTGACGCAATACTTGCTTGGTTATGCTCCCTAAACGTTAGGTCGTCGGACATCATTATTCCCAAATTTTTGACATGCTGTTTTCTTACTTTGGTTAGATTAGACAGTGTTTTGTACCCTGTATTATGCTTCAGGTCCTCATTTTTGCCGTACCTGAGTACCTGAAACTTATCACTGTTAAACATCATGTTATTTTCTGCTGCGCACTGATGGCTAGTTGACCTGTTGCTCGAGGCTGATGGCTAGTTGACCTGCTGCACGAGGCTGATGGCTAGTTGACCTGCTGCACGAGGCTGATGGCTAGTTGACCTGTTGCACGAGGCTGATGGCTAGTTGACCTGTTGCACGAGGCTGATGGCTAGTTGACCTG